CAAAGCTCATCTGATGTCATTTCTCATTTGTGTGCTGGGAAATCAATGGCTGCAGCTGCAAGTCACTGCAGTAGGTACCTGTGGTTTGCCCTTGCCCTTTGAGCATTTGCCTGCAGAGTCTGGAGGCCGTCACCCCGCAGTCAGCCTGGCTTGTGGTAGCACAACTAGGGCAGGATTTAAAACAGCCCTTTTGTCAGCATATCTGCAAGGGCATCCCATTAGCTATGGTACAAGTGATTGTATGAACTTGCCTCAACGCTGCTTCTGTTATGCTCAATATTCTCTGTTATCTTTTTCACCTACTGAAATTTATGTTGGGAGATGCATTCAGTAAACTGAAAAATAAACAAATGTACTATCTCTGTGTTGAATGTCAGCACCTTTATGTGATCTGAAACACTAAAAAAGCAAGCTGGGGACAGCTTTGTTATGAAAGAATGGTGAGCAGAGGCAGACACACAGAGGGAATGAAAGCAAACACATGAATCTCACTAGTCATTTTCAGAATGGAAATATTCCATTCACTCCAATACAGCCTTATTATGGAAATTGAAATGGATCATAGACCCAGCAAAGTCATGTACTTAATAATGTTAGCTACGTTTAAAATTTTCCCTATATGATTCAACAGGATAAAGCAAGATGCCAGCAGCTGATGTGTTTACTAATTATTTATCAAGAAACAGTTAAGTAGTCTCTTACCAAGGGTAGAGACTCCTGATGACTATGGAAGTGCTGGATATGGAGCAAAACAGCCCAACAAGAGGGAATATTGACACCAGTTATGTCCGAAACAGAAACAGGTGCAGAAGTGCAAACAGACATACAGATAAAGAATTCACCCATCAGCTCATAGGGATGGTCGGCCTGGTATAGCAAATATCAGATCACTAGGGATGTCATGGAAGTGGAAGGGAAAGTCAGGTGTTTCATTTATCTGCAAAAACTTTCTGATTAATTTCTAACTTGAGATGTTTCTTGTTCCTTTCCTAGCAGCTGGAATTAAAGCTGTCCATGAGCTGCCACTCATGAACAAAGATTCTGCCACCCTAACTTTCTGCATCAATATCTCACAAGTGTCATTAAAACCAGCTGGTATATTTATGAATAAAAATGTTACATTGTAGAAAGGTTGGCAGAATTTTTTCCCTAGCACATTACCAGCCCTGGAGGCATTGTCACAATGCTGCCAGAAAAAGGTTTGGTTTCACTTCCCAAATCCAATTCCCGGGAGCAGCAGGGATTACAGCAAGAAAGGTCTTTAGTGATTGAAAGAGACTTTCCTTATGCGACTTAATGGGATGCCCTCTGGCCAAATGAACATACTCTGTGGGTTCTGAATTCAGCCAGGTTGAAATTCACTGTATTTCTTGCTATGATACAGAGAAGGAAGGATGCTTCCACCTGACACCTAACACATGGCATATGGGCAACTATTACAAGTGATAAACAGAATGTCTGTTACTATTTCTCAAACATAAGCATGGATGGCTGAAGGCCCAATCTAAGAAAATTCCCCTTTTAGAGCCAAACAACAGGTGGGACAGAATTATCATCATTTTCTTATGATACATTATGGGCATTGTCAGATGCTCAGACAACGGGGCTGATCTGCTCAGCTGCTCTGCTTGCAGACAAAGGAGATGGGATATGGACTTTATAAACATTTGAAAACAAAGAGCTACAATTCACAAGCAGCTTTGCCAGTTGGAGGATAGCCAAAGACACAGCCAAAGAGCTATGCATGGGCTTCAGACACCAACTCAGGGAAACAGTTTATTCTCTGTTGTAGAGCTTTTTCATTACCTTATTCATTAACCTTTCCTTAAGCGTTACAATACTTATTACCTTCTCTTGTGCACTATGTTCATGCAGTATTATTTTTCATCATTCATATTCTCAGCATGGTGGCACCCAGTTCAGGTAATCTTCAAAATGGCAAACAAAGTGAGCCATTCTGGAGCTTAGTGCTGTCACAACATCTTCAGACAACTTTGCTTCAAAATCTTACGTGTGAAGAGTCAGCCTTATATTAACCTTATATCCACCATAAGAGAAATTTTACAAGACAGTAGATGTTCTTAAACATATTTTCTTCATTTTGCTTTTTTCTCTTTACACAAACTTGTATGGGCTTTAAAGTCTATACCAGTATCCTGGTAGAGGTGTTAAAATCACAGACATGATGGTGCTGATGATTTATCATCTCATTGTGCTGGCTTGCCCTGTCATATCCAACACTTCCTCCCTGAATACAACTGTAAGAGATATCCAAACCTGCAGGAAAGCCCAGACCATTCTTCAGTGCAACACTTAGCAAAAATACTTCTTTCTGGCAGCCCTACAAATCATGTCTGTTGATACTGGTCAGAAGAGCACAGGCAAGCTCCATCCATCAGAGCAGCAGTGGTTTTTCTTCTAAATATTATCTACTATATGTAATTGGAAGAAATATCATTATAAGGAGAAACTATTTCAGAGGCACTCTCTCAGGAGGCCTGTGTTGAAGGTTTAGAAGTACCTGTACAGCTGATATCAATGGCATCAGCAAATGCTCAGTTGCAGACCTGGATAGAATAGAGTCAAACAAGCCGCTGACAACAGCCCACCAACACACACTCCCCCACCAGGCTCCTAGTTTTTTTTTTCTCTTATGACAAAGCTAGACTCCAGCTCAACAAATCCACAAAATGAAATCACTTTCCATTGCATTATTCATTTTGGATGTAAACTTACTGTGGCAGATATCACCAAAGGATTTCAGAAATAGAGCGGTGTTCTTACATGGCTTTCAGTAGCAAATAATTAGGTATTTGTTTTCAGAATAATACAGTGAATCTTTTGAGAAATGTGTAAGCAAAAAGGAGGTTTTATACAGAAGTTTCACAGTAAATCAAACACATCTTATCAAAATGTGACCTATTCAAACTGCAAGTGATGTAGTGAAGAAAGATCATCCCTTAGCTGAGTACATGTTAAGTTCAGCAAAACTGTCAAAGCCGTTTAAGGCAAACAGCCCATTACAGACCATGAACGTTGTAAACTATTACCTCTGCCAAGGTAATGTGAGATAATTTCTCCAGAACTGAAAAGATGACATATTGTCATTTGACTTTTCCTCAGAACTCTACAGATCATCTCTGAATATAGCATGTTCAGCAGCAGGAAGGTTTTCTCCCTTCTCAGAACAGCTAACAGAAAAGAGGGGAAAGGCAAGCCTGTACAGGCTACAGTAGATACAACAGCCAGAAAAAAATATAGCAACAAAATCTATTAAAAATTCCATAATAATATACTGTTCTATGGCACAGAGTTTGGAAAAATCAGCTGGAAGGTAGGCTGAAATCAAGATGTTGGTTTCTGTGTCGGGGTGGAGAAATATTACAGCACTGACTCTCAGCAGTAAAATCCTCACTCCACAAGTTTACATGATTAAGCTGCGAGCATTTAACTCACCAGGCGTTTGATCAATATCTCTGTCACACAAGAAAGGACACAAATTGCTTTGGGAAATGCTAATGGACATCCTAAGGTGTAACTGCTTTCCAAAAGTATCTCCCTATGTTTGTACACTAGGAGGATCTAAAGCAGGAGCAGTGCTGCAGCTGCATGGGAGAGCATACACGGGAGATATGTTCTGCATTGTTATCTCTATCTTTTAATTATGATAGCTAACCATGAGGAAAAAAGGGTTTTCAAACATGTATGACATATATGACAAACATATGACTGTTAAAAAGCTGCTGCAAAAGCCTAAGGTTCTTTAATGAAAAGGACAGCAGATTATCCACTGCACCTAACAGAACAAGTCTTTTGGTATTTGTAACAGTGCAGTGTCAATGACACCTTTAGGATAATTACTAGTTTATCCTGAGGTCCTAAATACATAATCACATTATAATAGATGCAAATAGATTATAAAACCCAAACACATATACCATAGGAAACAAATAAAACATGAGCACCTAATGGAAAACAAATATTCCTTCAGATGTTGAAATCACAGTTGTGATACAAAATATTGCAAGAAATCAACTAATCTGGCACTTTCTACTCTCAGTGACTTTCTCACATGTTGTCACACCTTATTGAGCTCTCACTGATTTGATATTACAGCAGCCCTGATGTAAAATGCTTAAAGAGAGAGAGTTCACTGTGCTCAAGAGGCTGAAAAAAGATGTTTTGCCTCTCTGGAGGTTTAAAATAAATAGAAGTTTAAAAGAACATACACCACAAATTTGGTTTAAATCACCTACTGAGTACAAGGTCACAGGCCACTGCTTTTCAAACTGAAATGCAGAGATCTGTACAATGAGTATGGATAACAGCCCTAGAAAAGCAGGAAAAGTTATTTTATAACTTTTATTATAAGCATTAAACCTGCCCTTCATATGCCAATCAACAAAAACTGAAATCATGTTTAGCTGCTGGAACTTGAGCTCATATCATAAAGATTCATATGTCTAGCTGTAAAATTAAGCTTCATTCAGTCTTTAAACAATTTGGAAAAAACAAAAAACAAACACTCACTGGAAAGTGATTTGATTGAAAAAATGTTGCCCAAACAAAAAGTGGGAAATATCAAAACAATGTTGAACTGATTTCTAACATTTCTAAATACAAATTCTATTTTTAAATATATTAGTTGCTCCAAAGAAAACATCTCATATTTGTAAGTTTTTACAGATTTGACCTTAACAAAAAAGTTGAATTTCTTTTTTATTTAGATATAAAAATGCCCCCCAAACCCTTCATAATGTCTGTCTTATTGCTCCTAAAATACTGATAGCCACAAAAATGCCAAAGGTTTCTGCATCAAGGTGCAATTCCATTAAGCCTCACTTTGAACTTACTAGGATATCCTCTGGCTGAATTTTGCACAGATCAAGTTGGCTTTGAGATTCAGATTCAACACTTATGAAAAGGACTTTGCTTAAAAATACACTATTCAAAGACTTTTCTGCCCAAAGAAGCCCCTTTAACCTTCAAGCTCTACTTACTATAGGAACTCATGTGAGCCTTGAGTAGTCCCAGCTCTCTCTTCTCACAGCAGTATTGTTTATGTTCATTGATATCTGCTCTCCATATCTTGGAATTTTTCCCCAACTGAACTTTGCCTCTGGAGGGTTCTGATTCATCCATTTCCTGATATCCCATATGTTCTTTTTGGATTTCTAGGGAAGATGGCAAATACTGCAAAAGTAAAAAAGTAAAAGAAAGGATTTGAAATTTTAAATACATTTGAACTTTTGAAAATTTACTTCTTATTTTGTATTTTCCTTAAATGAGTACTCATTTCATTGAGCTTCAGCATGAAAGAACACAGAAAGTGAATATTTAATTTCCTTCTTTCAGGTATTTATACCAGCCACTAGCCAGTTAGACACTAATGGATAATGAGGAGAAGAACAAGTTTATTAGTTAGAACTGAAAAAAAACCATGCATCCTCGTGCTTCAAACCATTACAAAAAGAAATCTAGAACTGATATCCTTTTACTCTATAAATAACATTTGATGGAGATTAAAGAGAAACTTTTCTTTCCCATATTAGTTCCATAATTGCCTGATGGTACTACGTTCTGAAACAATTTTATCTGAGAGATAATAGACACATACACACTTTGCTAAAGAGAAAACTAATTTGCATCACTTATTCCATGGTAACTGTGCATGTTTTCAGTTCATAAACAGGTGAGGGTGCTTATCTCTCAGTAAAAAAAACTGCAATTTATCTTGTTGGGTATATCAGGGTATGAACATGCACAGGAATATTTCCCACATCACAAACAAACACAGTTTTCTCAGAGGGCCTTGCCCACAAACTCATACCCCAGCATAAAAGGCATTCCTGTCCTGCACAAACCAGCAGCTCAAACTTCTGTGGCAATTTGTAAACTTCTACCTCAGAGCAGTAGAGGAGTGCCTGTACTCAGCAAAAAGCACACAAAACACTTACAGGAAAATTCTTTATTGGAGGAAGTTGCAGGTCTTAGAATGTATTACACTAAGAAAAAGTCGCAATTCATCAAGCAATTTATTCACTGTCATTTATCAGCAGTAACCATTAATAGATGTCTGCAAACTTGCAAATGGCTCAATTTCAGCATGCTTTTCAGGCCACTGTTTAGAATATCATGGCATTTAAGCAAAATGTTACGAGGTGACATCTTGGGATGTTATTTGATATTTCATATGGATGGATAAACTCCCTTCCCCCTGCCCATCAGCTGGCAGTTCCAATCCAAAGAATAAGTCTGGAAGTTCAGAGTTACGAGTCCAGAATTAAAAATTCAGTATGCTGAAGCAGTTCCACATGGAGGCAAGCAGGATGCTACAGACTTTACATGCTCCTTTTTCCACTGCCAGCTATCAGAAGTCGTCAATTTACATGACATTTTATCTTTCAGGCATGTACTTATTTGTAATGTAAATGATATAGAAAAGAAATATTGATTGAACATGAACATCTCCAAAAATAGTTTTTGTGAATAATGAACTTTTTCCCAGATATTTCCATTTAGTGCCTTTGAAATAGTGAATGCTGCAATAAATGTTTTTAGTACAAGTACTTGCAAATAAATGCTAGAGATATTTCATGTCTTTCCTTCAGGAGTAATTCACATAGCCATCCTAGACAAGTGTTACTACTCAGAAAAAAAATACCCACAGCATAAGCAAGACAGCACTGGGTGACAGACATTCCTGAATCATACTTTCCCACACTTTCCTAGGAGATCTGGAAATTGAAGCTCAAACAATTTAATAATAAAAGCTGGAAAATTTTCACTGTTGATGTCATCATGGCACTAAATTATATGATGGACTGCCCCAAAATGATAAACTTTAAATTATGAAAAAGTTTATAATGTATTAACTCTCAATTCTCTTAACATCTTTTACCAGTTCCAACTTCTTCCACATACAGTAAATGTCACGGAATACCTTCTTCCTTTTAGAAAACCACACTATAAAGTTGAAAAAAATTATAATAGACAAAGTTACATTTTCAGTCCCTATATCCCATTTACAATGGTGTTAGGGTACATTTTGATAATAGAAAATCCCAATGTGCAGAAAAGACAAAGCAGATCCTCTCATGAGGTAACAATGAATAAAGCAGAGGAACAAGCTTTTAGTAATAATTCTGGAGGACAAAACACTTCATTTAGGTACATAGGGACTATAGAATAGACAAAGTTTGTGCATTGTCTTCAATATATAAACCAATCAAAATGCTCAACCATACAGGCCCTTGGGGAAGTCAGTCAGACTCCACACCCTCTCATTCCTCCATGTCTCAGTTAAACATTGTGTCAATCAGTGACAGGTGATCTGGTGTTCATTAAGGGGCTCTACACCAACTGCAAACCAGAAGTATTACCAAACTCAATCACTGTCAGCCGTGCCTAAACACAAGGCTGTGTCTAGGAACAGATGCCCATATACCCCACTGCCAAATCTTCAATCTGTACTTGTTACATGAAGGATTTTTCAGTCCTTCTTGTGCCTCCAAATTCTTTGTGCTCACTCTGGCTTTCTTGCTATTCCAAGTCCAGGGAAAGAGAAAGAAGGTTATATAGGAAAAAAAATAAAATAAAAAAAAATCAAAACTTTATACCTGGGAATTAGAAACTTATTGTATTCAATATCTTTCCAAAAAAGCATTTCAGATATTTCACACAGGTAGTGAAGCACTGACTGCTTTGCACAGCCACACGTGGAACAGCACATGTCACACCCGCTTGCTGCACTCAGTTGTGTTCATTACAGCAGAAACAAACATGGTAATTTAAACATGTATACATACATATTTTCAATGCAACTGTATCTAGGAGTGATTTAAAGTGTTCCCAGCATGAAAATGGAAATTCTGAACAAAGGTGCTGTAAACAAACTTGAAATTCAGATTAAAAAAATTCTCCAATATAAGCTTTAACATTTTCTAAAATAACTGATAAATAATGGTAGTCATTTGGCTTTTAATTAAATATAGACAACAGGAAAAATTATATCTTGAAAGAGACTGGGGAAAATGCAGTTCTTGGTTATATATCACAGCATTCACATCAATTTTTCTGGCTTGCAAATGTAAACAGTTGCACAAAGCTTGGCAATCTAATAATCAAGTTGAGCTCCTCCCACATAATAATAATAATTATTATAATAATTTTTACTTGAAAAGACTCTGAAAAAAAAATTTCCTCTGCTGGATTTCAAGTGGAACTGTGAAAGTCAGACTTGACTGTCAAGTGTTTTCTTGTCACCGCTTGCTTACTGAAAGATGAAGAGAATTACAAGCTTTAAGGAACAGGTACTAAAAGTAGAAGAAGTAAGAAATAAACACCTGCAGAGAAAGACAGACAAAACTTTCCCTGACAGAATACAATTCAATTAAGGTTGACACAGTGCCCCTAGTAAAAACCCTGTTCTCAATCACTTGTACTATTGAGAAAGTTGTAATCATCTGGGTGATGTGTCTCCCTTAGCCTGAATTTCCTGGAAAATTTCAGTCAAAATCGTGCAGCCATTCCTTAGAGAAAGGCAACAGGAAATTGCATTTGCTTAGAATGCTAAAAGATTCTGAAGACCTTTCTTTAAAAAGTCCCATGCTTTAGAATAAGGACTTGCAAGTTGGCAGAGATCTTGTGCCTTTTGCTCTCTCAATGAAAACCACTCAAAACTGTCCAACTTCAAGCCCTGTGGTCTGTGCACAGCCAGTACTTCCAGGACTGGTATTTCCCAACCTTTCTGTCTGTACTGGATGTGCTCCAGGGGCCTGAGAAGGTCTTTCTCTGCAGTTACAGCTCACTGCCAAATCTGAGTCAAACAATCTGAACCAAGGCAAGAGGTCTTTGCTGCTATTTCAATACTTTCCTTACTAAGTCCAAGCAAAATGCAAGAGGCAGCTCTCAAATATCCAGGGAGAGCACCAATCCTTCAGGGAATAGACTGGGAGGATGAGGAGCTTGAGGAATGAAAAAGAAACTGGCTAAGTGTAGGGAAAAGACAGATTGAGACCCAGAATACTAGAGTCAGAAGAAAGAACAAATGGGGAGCAATTAGACTGCTGGGCAGAGAGACTAGAGTAACACCCAGGAGAAGGAAGGCAAAACTCTGTGGAAGAAAAGCTCCCAGCTAGAAGAGATATCTGGGAATGAGGCTGGAGGAGTACGAGACACAAAAGCCGTGTCTCCTATAGTACCCCTCCACCCCCCGACCAAAACATCCTGCAACCTAATATCGTTATATAATGCTAAAGCTTTTGTTCTAAGGTGGCTTTTTTTCTTCCTAACTTCCAAGCACATTCATTATTTATATTTTCCTCTGAGGCAAACAGCATTTATATTTTTGACTTGCCTTTTAAGGATATAGATATTTCAGTGTTTTCCAAAGTGTTTTACTGTGTCTTGAGATTTTTTTACTATTTTTTAAAATAAAAATGCAACATTCAAATTGAAAAATAATCTTTCAATAAAAATTTTGACTTCCATGAGTGTATATGAACTCAGCTCAAAAGAACTTCCAGGAGCACACCACATTAACCTTTTTTGTTTTCTCTTTTATAGATCACCATTAATTTTACAGTAAATCTATTTAGCTCAAAAGCAGTGTTTGAGCTGTTTTGGGAGAGAAAATGTAACTGCTTCTGCAGAGCCACTAGATCCAGAGAAGTTCTTTGCAAAACAGTCCAACATTTCCATTCTTTTTTTATGATTCCTTAAGCATCATAGCAGGTATGGTTGTAAATGTATGTGATAACTAGTTGAGAACCCTTCTAAATTTTTATTTTCTATAGTTTGGCTATAACTAAACTCCCACATTAACAGTATCTGACCACCTGAGACAAATCCCGTCAACTTTCATGTGTAGTATTAAAGTACTCTGATAAAACATACGCATTAAAAGTAATGAGGACTGTTGCAGGTAGGCTCACATGTGAAATGTTCTACACTTAATCAACGGGATTCCCTTTAGGATTATTAGAATAAAATATTCCAATAAGAAAATGTTCATTGAACTATGAAAAAGAAGGCAGAAAGCTTCCTCAAATATTTTTCATTCCATCCATTGCTTCTGGAAGTCATCAGAAGAGCTGACAGCTGCATTTCAATTTTCAGATTTCAGTATTATCTTTGATCGATGTTATTCTTTGTATATATCTGGATTATTTCTGAGCCTTATTCTTCTAAAA